GGAGGCTGAGGCAGGAGGACTGTTGCAAGTTCGAGACCAGCCTGGGCTACAAAGTGAGCTCAATACCAGCCTGAACTGCATAGTGAGACCCTGTCTCAAAAAGACAAAAACAACAACAAAAAACCAACGTGGTTACTATAGGAACAAATACTGTACATGTCCAGATGACAGAGCTGGTTCATTAGACCACACTGCAGACACCAAAACACTTCCCAGCAATTAAAGAGCAAAGTCACAGAGAATTTCAGCAAGTGCTTTTTGAAATGGCATTCACCATTCTGGTATTCAAAACAGAACGGAGGACACAGAGGTGGAGTTCCCTTTGGGAAAAAAATAAATTCAAAGCGAAAAAATTCCTAAATTACTAACAATGATCACATTTGAGTAACAGATGATTGTATGGGTGATTTAGAAAATCTTGCTCAGCGGTACAAGCACCTGCCTGGCAAGTGCAAGGTCCTGAGTTCAATTCCTGGTACCAAAAAAAGAAGAAAATCTTTGCCTTTTTATTGGTTTTCTGGTTGGTTTATTTTTTTGTGGTACCGGGGATCAAACTCAGGACCTTGTGCTTGCCAGGCAGACGCTTGTACCACTGAGCTAAATCCCCGGCCCCTATCTTTGTTTGTTTTTGAGATGAGGTTTTACTCTGTGATTCCGACTGGCTTTGAACTCACTATGTAGTTCAGTCTGCCCGTAAACTCCACCGATCCTCCTGCCTCAGCCTCCAGAATGCTGAAATTACAGGCATTACCACCACACCCAGCAGGTTTTCTTTTTGTTTGTTTTTTGTTTTTTTCTGGTACCGGGAATCGGACTCACGACGTTGCTCTTGCCAGGCAGGCACTGTGCTGCTGAGCTAAATCTCCAGCCCTTTTTTTTTCTTTTAAATTTAAAATTTTTTTTCCCCAATACCAGGAATCGAGCTCACGACCTCACACTTGCCAGGCAGCTGCTGTGTCGCTCAGCTAAATCCCCAGCCCGTTTTTTTATTTTTAAAATTTCTTTTTATTCCATTTTACTTTATTTTTGAGACAGAGTCTTGACTTGTAACCCAGCCTGGCTTTGAACTCACAGCAATCCTCCTGCCTCAGCTTCCTGAGTGCTGGGATTACAGCTGTGCACCATGATGCATGACTTTTTTGAGACAGGATCTCCCACTGTAGTTCAAATTGCCTTTGAATTTACTATGCAGCCCACACTGGCCTCGTGGTGATCCTCCCGCCTCAGTCAGCCTGCTGAGTGCTACAATTTTAGGCATGCACCACCACACCTGGATTTTTTTTTGTCAAATTAGTATGTTTTTAATGACACTCTACCAAATATTATCAAAAGTAAAAGAGCTACAAACAGAAGTCTCTCTGTCTCTGTCTCTTTCTCTCTGTTTTTCTGTCTCTCTTGTTGCCCCATGAATTAAGTGCATTTCCTTTTTTCTTCCTGCACGGGGCTCCTCAGTGGCTGCTTTTTCTCTTGGTTGTGATTCCAGTGTTCCAGCTTTATCTCCTGTCTAGTAACTTTTGATTGGATGCTGGACATTACGCCAGTATATTGCTGGGAGTCTGGGTCCTGCTGTCTTCCTGTACATGCTGGGGCGCTGTTTTGGTACCTGCTAATCTATGGACACATAAGGCTTCTCCCAACAAGCTTATTTTTAGCCCGTGGTTGGACAGGTCTCAGGCTACCCTGACTCCCTGGCTGCTGAAATTGTACACCTAAAACATGAAGTGAACATAAAATTTCTACATTTTTTTTAAAGTTCTGGGGCTTGAACCCAGGGCCTTGACATTGAGCTACATTTTCAGCCACTTTTCTAATTTTTTATTTGAGGCTAAACTGCTGAGTTACACAGGCCTAGCCCAGTCTGCCTTGAACTCATTGTGATCCTCCTGGCTCAGCCTCCCAGAATGCTAGGATTATAGGTGGATGCCACTGTGCCTGGCCATAACTTTCCAAAAGACTGAAATCAGAACCATGGGTATCAGGGGCTAAAGGGGGCAGGAAATGATGTTGGAGGGGACAGGAATGTTTTGGGATGATAGGAAAGTTTTCTGCCGGGCATTTGGTGCATTCCTGTAATCCCAGCATGTAGGAGGCTGAGGCAGGAGGATCACCATGAGTTCAACAGCATGGGCTGTTTAATGAGTTCAAGGCTAGCCTGAACTACAGTGAGACCCTGTCTCCAAAAGCCACACACATACAAAAAGGAATATTCTGGACTTTGTACATTCTCACCTGATTCTAGAACCCTGAACACAACACATGTATAATCTGTGCAGTCTGCAGAAAGAGCCCCTGTATTCATGGACTCCCACCTACGTGGCCCCAGCCTCTTGCGCCCCTCTCTTAGCTCCCACTGCTGCATGACCACTGTCCACAGCCTTGACCACTGTGTCCACACTGTGTCCACTTCTAGCACAGTCCCAGATGTGGGGATACTGCTTGTTGTGATTTGGGGTTTTTGCAAGGGGAATAATACAATAGAGGATGCATATTTTACAAGATTATTTATAATGGTCACCCTAAGAATTATATACAAAGACAGTGAAGACAATCTGTCTACACACTAATGACCAAAGAATCCAGCTGAGGGCCTGGGTCCCAGGGTGATGTCCTGCATGAGTCCAGCTGAAGACCTAGAGCCCGTAACAATGCCTCCCACAAGTCCAACTGGTGGCCTAGAGCCCATGACAATGTCTCACGCAGGTCCGTTTCATGGATCTGCACTGGGAAGGCAGTTTCACAGATCTGTGCTGGGAAGGCCTAAAGGTCAGTGGTGGAAGCTAGAAAATCTGTGCCAGCGGGATGAAGGATCTGTGCTAGAAGGCTGAGGGATCTGCACTGCAGCCAGGAAGCTATGCTCAGAGTAAGAACCGGAGCTCCCCCGAAAAGTACCACAGCCATCCTCAGCAAGTGTGAGGTCCCAAGCTCCTCCGACAGTGAGGAAAGCCAAGTTTCATTCAGAAAAGCCAATGTGACAAGCTTCTCCAGGAGAATGAACGGTGTACCATCTTTCCCTCTGGAGCCAGGAAGCTCAAAATGAGGACCAGAGCTCTCCCAAAGTGAAATGTAGCCATTCTCAGCAGTAAGGTCCCAGGCTCCTCCTCTGATGAGAGCAGCCGAGTTCATCAGGAAGGCCAGCATGACAAGCTCCTCCATGAAAACCAACAGCTCCCTACAGCTTCTCCACAACTTCCAACAGGCTCCCAACAGCTTCTACCAGCTCCCAAGGCAACAACCCTCAGGTGGGCCTCCCACACCCAGCACCGCCCTGGTTCAATTTAGCTGGGCGTTGTTACAATTTGACCACCAGCTGTCAGTCCACCACACTGCCTGTTCCTGGAAATGGGAGGCTCCTCCCCTGCCACCTGAGTAGGCCCTGCTGCCCTCACACTGCTGATCTAAGGGGCCCTGGAAAGTGAGGGGTATGCAGGGGAGAGGCAACACGCACACAACTGTCCCCAGCCGTGTCCAGCCTGGGCACTCTCAGCCCAGGGTCACTGTCTCCACACCCCTCTCCTCCCCTCGGAAATCTGTCATCTTCACCTTCCCGGTGGCAGGGAACCCTGGCTATGCACGCTCAGGGGCCAGGTCCTCTGCCTTTCTTGAGCACCCAGTCTGGAGAGGTGACAGGCTGGGCCCATGGTGTTAGGACACAACCTGGGCCCTGAGCAATGCCCCGGGAGCTCGAGGGAGGAGGGGCCATGTCCCCATGGAGTACAGGCTGTGCCCCAGTCCCATGTCCAGCTTTCCAACAGCCTCTACTTGCCTAGATCCTCCTGCCTCAGCCTCCCAAGTGATGGCATTACAGGTGTGCACCATCCTGCCTGGCTTCCTGTGGGCTTTCAGAGCTGCCTCATTCAGCCAGAGGCCTTGATCCAAGGCACCCAGAGCAAGGCGGGCAGCAGGGGCAAAGCAGCAGTGCAGGGACAGGTGCCACGCAGCTTCTGGGGTCTCTCAGGGTGGCCTCTGCCTCTGCCAGCCCCAGTCCAGCCCCACTGCCCTGGTGTCAGCCCCACGTGACTCCTGTGAACCTTGGAGGCTGGAGTCTGCGCTGCGGAGCTGAAGTGGGGGAAAGGTCACTGTCTGCCACTCTGGGGCCGATGGCTGTCTGCCAGCTGGGCCAGACACCAAGGCTAGCCCTGCCTGGCCGCTGGCTGCAGGACAGCTGCAGGGACAGCCGCGGGGAACTGCAGCAGGCTGGGTGGTCGGCGAGGGGACCTGGCTGAGGTGCTGAGCCAGAGCACAGGGCTGGCTAGAGAGGGCCTCCCTGGGCAGAGAGGAGCAGGCAGACTCAGGTCTGGCCCTGTCCCCAGCTAAATTTGGGTAAGTAGTGAAAAGGTGTGTGGAGCTGCTTTACTTAACAATTATTTGAAGCTGGGGGTGGTGGCACACACTGTAATCCCAGCACTCGGGAGGCTGAGGCAGGAGGATCACCATGAGTTCAAGGCCAGCCTAGACCACACAGTGAAATGCTATCTCAAAAATACTACTACCACTACTGCTGCTACTACTAGTAATTAGGCTCTTTTGTTTGTTTTTTGTCTTTTTGAGACAGGGTCTCGCTATGCAGTTCAGGCTGGCCTTGAGCTCACTTTGTAGCCCAGGCTGGCCTCTAACTCGTAACGATCCTCCTGCCTCAGCCTCCCGAGTGCTGGGATTACAGGCATGCACCACCACGCCCAGCTAATTAGGCTCTTTTTGACACCTACAAGGAAAACAACATGACAGAAACAATCTAATACATGTGAAAAAATTTAAAAAAAGTTAATACAAGCAGATGAATTTTATTGTGAATATATATATTCAGACAGGATCTCACTATGCAGTTCATGGTGGCCTTAAGCCATGGAGCCCAGGCTGGCCTTGAATGCAGGACAATCCTCCTGCCTCAGCCTCCTGAGTGCTGTGATTACAGATGTGTATCACCACACCCAGCCACTGCTAATGTTTTGAGATTTCAATTTTGTCCTTACTGACCACAAACTGATAAGAGAAATGACATCTTACAAAATAGACATATAAAATTTAATCCCTTTGGTTTAAAATACATCATCAATGATACAATTAAAAACAAGACAAAAATCAATTCATAAAACAAAATATAAAATATTGTTATATGACCCGTGTCCCATATCTCTGAAAGCCAGTGATTTAGTTCACATACTTCATTGGAATATTAAACCCAAACATGCAACTGTCAATGCTGCTGAGACAAACGACCTATCCTAGCTGCTCCCTGAAGCTACAGATACCCGTGATTCCATTTCTCTTAGTGTTTCTATTATAAAATTACATTTGAAGGGTTGTTTTATATATTTAAACACATGTACAAAACAGTGGGCCCTGGCACACTGATAAGAGTCTCAGAAATTCACAAATGCTTTCTACAATTGTAAACCTTACAAATAATCAAACTTCAAAAACCATTTCTTTCATTTTGGTCTTTCGAGACAGAATCTTGCTCTGTAGTCCCAACTGGTTAGGACTATATAGCCCAGGCTGGCCTTGAACTCCAAGCGATCCTTCTGCCTCAGCCTCCTGAGTGCTGAGATGATAGGTGGGAACCATCTGTTAGATCAGGAAGAGGAGGAAGAGGTCCATTCCGGGTTCGCGATCCTTTCTGCTGCTTGCTCTGCATGGGCCAGGACCCCTGGTGCCCAGCACTGGGACAGACCGGCATCGGTGTCGTGCCCTCGTCCACACAGCAGCCTGTGGTGTGGCCAGCGGAGCTGGTCATCAGCCGGGCCTTGCTATGCTGGGGTTTAGCTGCCTGTGAGCCCAGGAACCCGGCCTCTGCGCGGGCGGCGGCTGCGCATGCTCGCTGTGCTCCACAGCCCCCGCGGGAATATATTAGACATTTGTATCAGCCTCTATGTACACATTTACACACAGACCTTCACGTGGATATTGCACTTTACATGCAAGGCGGCCTACGCTGTGACCCACGGAGTTCACGAGAAGATTGCAGGCCAGGCCCAGCTCAGCGCCCCGTGGAGTAAACATGAAGTGGGGAGCATGGGCGTGGGGTGGGCTGGGCTCACAACCCTCAGAGCCCGCAGGGGTCTCCTGCACCCCCATGCGTGGTCCCTGCGGGTGTAGACAGGGCCGACAGCCTCGCACCCTGACCCTGGGCGCCGCGGCAACACAGGGCCGCCAGAGCCGGGTGAGGACGTCCGCTCCTCCATCCTCTGCGAAGTGCGCTCCCACGTTCAAGGCGTTTGTCTCAGGGCGGAAGGGATCCCCTCCCTCATGTCACCTGTCTCAAAGCGGGTGACGGCAGTGACGGCGCAGGACACCGGCTGTGAACCCGGGGCCGGGGCCGGGGCTGGGCCCTAGATCTCCGTGAGCGTGAGCTTGTACGATCCCCCGGCCTCCTCCATCTGCAGCTGGAAGGTGTCCTCGTTGGAGTAGTGCTTCACGATGTTGTCGTCCATGTTCACCAGGATGCTGGGAGGATGCATGGTTTCCACAGTGAGACCCAGGCAGAGTGCCGGCTGTACCCGCTTGCAGAGATGGGAAGCCATCCCCGCCGCCCAGCCCTGGGCCCAGCCACCACCTCTTTATAAATTGGGTTAACAGGGGTGCCATCATCTGGATTGGTAAGGATTAAAGAAAGGCGAAGAGCCAGAGTGGTGGCATACACCTGTGATCCCAGTACTTGGGAGGCTGAGGCAGGAGGATCCCTGTGAGTTTGAGGCCAGCCTGGGCTACAGAGTGAGTTCAAGGGCATCCTGAACTACACAGTGAGACCCTTTGAGTCTCAAAAACTCAAAAAGGAAAAAAAAAACTACAGTGATAGTCTGCAAAGGTAGGTCAATTTTATATAAATAATTTAATAAAACAAAAAGCAGGCAGCAACATTATGGCCTGACAGCTGCGTCCAGCCTGCACCCGGATCCACAGCCAGTGTGCGCCTCGTGCAGATGCTGGGCCCACTCACCCTTTCTTGCACTTCTTGAATATTTTCCCAATCTTATCTTGCGGGATGTCGTACTTGTCGGAGATCTAAGAGAGCAGGAGAAAATAATTACAAAATGCCATCTTCGTGGCTTCAAACAAACACTGATCACACACACACACACACACACACACACACACACACACACGCAACGTGCTCTTCCCAGATGCACACGGAGACAGGCACAATTCCCACTTTTTCTGCTCTTCTCTCCCTGTGATCAAGGTTTTGTGAAATCTTTAAGAAAAGGTGCCTGACTGGGCGTGGTGGCGCACACCTGTAATCCCAGCACTTGGGAGGCTGAGGCAGGAGGATCGTTGCGAGTTCGAGGCCAGCCTGGGCTACAAAGTGAGCTCAAAGTGAGCCTGAACTGCATAGCGAGACCTTGTCTCAAAAAAAAAAAAAAAAGAAAAAAAGAAAAGGTGCCTGAAGCCAGGCGTGGTGATGCACGCCTATCACTCTAGCACTCAGTAGGCTGAGGCAGGAGGATCTGAAGTTCAAGCCACAGTGAGACCCTGTCTCAAAGACTGATCAACCAACCAAGACCCCGGGGGAATGCAGCATGGGTCCCACTCACAGCCTCGGTCAAGCCCTTCAGGGACGGGGTTTTGAGCATCAGGGCATCGAAGACCTCCTCCGCCTCCTTCCGCACATACAGCAGCACTGGTCCGGAGGGCACAGGAGACAGGAGAGAAGGGAAGACGCAGTTAAGCCATGGGCTCCAGGTACAGACTAGCTCGCAGGGGCCAGCTAAGGCAGAAGGACGTGTGGCCACATCTGGGACAGGACCAGAACCGGAATGGGAACCAGAACTAGAGCCGACCCGACCTGCACTAAGGACCTGGTGTGGCTTCCCAACAGCTCACCCTGCCCGGCGCCGGGCATCTCACCGTACCTCTCTTTGGTTCCTCTAGCCGGGTCAGCTTGGCGGAGGGCGGGGTGGTGAACTCATCTTCTGTCCCATATGGGCCCCGTTTCAGGCTGGACCTGTGGGCAAGGACCCAAACAGTCAGCAACTGCAACCTCAGTGAACCGTGGACAAGGAACTCCGGTGCATGGCTCTGGGCTTTGTTTTTGAGACAGTCTCTCTACAGCCTGGAACTTGTGGTGATCCTCCTGTCTCAGCCTCCTCAGTGCTGAGATGACAGGCGTGCACCACCACAGTGGGCTCCAGAAAAGACATCGTGAAGTAGAAAACCAGAATGGGGGTGAGGGCCAGAGGATAAGAAGGCGTTGATGGTGACACCCACCCCAGGAACTGGGGCTAGAGGTTGGCAGCTGATTCTTTAATGGCTCAGGAAAAAATTAGTCTTTGGAGTTGGGGTGGTGAAGCATGCCTGTAATCCCAGCACTTGGGAGGCTGAGGCAGGAGGACTGCCATGAGTTCAAGGTCAGCCTGGGCTACATAGCAAGAACCTGTCTCAAAAAAAGTTGTTTGCATTGCACTTAATTTGTCTGTGAGGTGGAGATTGTCTCAAAAAAAAAAAAGGTAATAAAACAAAACAAACCATTGCCCAGTTTGAGGCTAGTATGAGGCCAGCCTGAGCTACACAGTGAGTTCTAGGCCAGGCTGACTATATAGCCAGACCTTGTCTCAAAAATTCGAAAGAAAAAAAAAAAAAAAAACCCAAACAAAACAAAAAAACCAAACCAAACCAAACATAAAACTTACCCTTCACCCTCTAATTCTTCTGAGGCAATGGAAAGAACCTAAGACAAAAACAGATTGCTTTTTAAATATACGTTCTAAATGTCTCAGACCACAAGCATTCCTAAGTAGGAGTAAGGAACTTTTTTTTTGGTACCGGGAATCAAACTCAGGACCTTGAGCTTGCCAGGAAGGCCCTGTGCCACTGAGCTATATCCTTAGCCCAGTAGGAGTAATTCTGGATTGGGCCACTCTACCCCCGCCACACTTGCGGCAGCACTGGGGATTGAACACTGGACCTTCACACTCAGCTGCATCCCCAGCCCTTAGTTTTTGTCTTTTTGAGACAGGGTCTCGCTATGCAGTTCAGGCTGGCCTTGAGCTCACTTTGTAGCCCAGGCTGGCCTTGAACTCACAACGATCCTCCTGCCTCAGCCTCCCAAGTGCTGGGATTACAGGTGCATACCACCATGCCCAACTTTATTTTTAATTTGAAAGCAAGCTCTCACTAAGTTGCCCAAGCTGGACTCCACCTTTCAACTCTCCTGCCTCAGCCTCCCAGGGCACCAGGCTGACAGGTGTGTGCTGCTCTGGCTGCCGGGGATTTATTTTTGTGGCCTCTCGCCCCAGCCGAGACCTACATGCACGCCCCGCTGCAGGTTGGCGAAGTGCACGTCGGGGATGAAGAGCACCGGCTGCGTGTCGAGGTCGAGAAAGGGCTTGAAGACCGTGATGTCCATGCGCTTGTGCGACGGGAGCAGCGGCACCTTCACGTCGGACACTGGAAGGGGAGAAGGAGGCAGCCGCACGTGCACGTTACACACCGCACCCGTGCCAGTGACGCGGGTGAAGGAAAGCACCGCGTGAGGGGATTTTTCTTTTCTCCAAGAAAAATCACAGCTCCGGTATGCCAATGTGAGGCCTCTCTGGTGAAATCCACTGGCTGTCTTATTCAGATGGACGAAAGAGACAGCTTCAAACCCCCGGGCACGCAGAAGGTATGGGACACAGGGAAAGCCTGTTTAGGTTTTTGTATTTTGTTTTTGGTCTTTTTTGAGACAGGGTTTCTCTATGCACTTCAGGCTGGCCTTGAACTCACTTTGTAGCCCAGGGTGGCCTCAAACTCACAGCGATCCTCCTGTCTCAGCCTCCTGAGTGCTGGGATTACGGGAATGAGCTCCCACACCTGGCTAAGCCTATTTAGTTTTTGCCCAAAAGGCCAAAAATTATTGAAAGAGTTTGGAATTTGGAAGTCTGAGATGGATCAAAAAAACACAGTGAATGTTTAAAAAAAAAAAAAGGTTTAGAAGTGTTACAGTAAAAGGCGCATTACCATGAATCCTCCTCAGAATTTTCCCCTCACTTCAAACACACTCATCCCATTATCTTTGCCACTTTCTGCAGCAGCTCTGGAGTCCTCGTTCCTGAGGGTCTTTATCAGGTATGACCAAAACTACAGTGAATGCTGTTGCTGAGCACCAATGGAAAGGTAGCTCAGGAAATGACGCTGCGTCCTCACCCACCTTAGTCACCAGATCTGGCTCTGTGTGACTTCTGACTTCCCCCCAAAGTCAAAATGATCAGAAATGGGAATCGTTTAGAATACACTCAGGACCTCAACGCAGCCAGGACAGTGCAGCTAAGGACCCTCAGGAGAGAGGACTCCAGAGCTGCTGCAGGACGTGGCAAGGACGACGGGACGAGTGTGTTGGATGTGAGGGGAGGACTGCGAGGGAGATTTGAGGCAATGTGTGGTGCGGTAATACGTTTTAAAAATGTCACTCCTCACTGTGTATTTTGCCTGCACCACATAAGAGCTGCCCCTGTGGAACCCCTCGCACTCTGACTGCAGTGTCTGCACCAACTTCACACCTATCACGCGTGGCACTCACGAGTGTGCAGGACCAGTGTTTACCTTGGGGACCACGGGGCCACTGGCCCTGTCGCCCTGCGACACAGGGTTGCTGCCGCCGCCGCCCCGGAGGCTGTGCTCAGCAGCACTCCTGTTCTCGTGGCTGTTTACAGCCAAGGTTTCATGACTGTGAGTGTCAGTCACACTAAGAAAACAGCTTCCCTGGGGAATGTGTGACTGTCATAAGCAAAGACCATCCCTTGGAGGGTGGTTTTGTTTTTTTTTTTTTTTTTGGCTTTTTTGAGACAGAGTTTCCCTATGTAGTTCTAGTTGGCCTTGAGTTTACTTTGTAGCCCAGGCTGGTCTCAAACTCACAGTGATCCTCCTGCCTCAGCCTCCTGAGTGCTGGGATTACAGGTGTGCGCCTGGCTGTCCCTTGGAGTTATGACCTCCGGAACTCCCCTGGGCACTGCTGTGACTTCTACAAATCCAGAGGCCCCACCTTGAGCAGCTGCAGTGAGGAACATGTGTCCCCAGGATCGTGCCGAGCAGTGCTGCAGGAAGCCACGTGGCCCCAGGCACAGCGGCCGCCAGAGGGCGCACCGTGAGCACAGGGACAAGGCCTCTTACCGTCCCCAGGGTGCACTTGCCTTTTCTCTTGCTTTGCTTTCTCTCCTCGTCCCTGATTTTCCGCTCAGCTCCCTGCAGGCAAAGGGAACAGGTCAGGGTTCTGTGGTCCAATCCCCAACCCCCCTGGAAGTATCTCCCTTCTGGAAAAGATGCTGTCACTCATGGTGTCCCCAGGTTTGCCACAGTCCTCCCCTCATAAGTGCTCATCCTGAAATTACCTCTCACCCTGCCAAACCGGTCACCAGGAACAACAGTGATTTTATTTTTGTCCTAAGGATTGAACCCCAGGGCCTTTGCACTGAGCTATATCCCCAGCCCTTTTTTCTTTTTTTAATTTTTGGGATAGGCTCACTACCCAGGCTGCCCAGGGTGGATTTGAACTATGCTCCTCCTGCCTCAGCCTCCCAGAGCGCTGGGATGACAGGCATGCACAGCTCAGTAGTTTTGACTCCGAGTTCCATGGACCATCCCTTCCTCTGCAGCCGACTCCCTGCTCTCAAAGCCTGTCTCCTCTCCGCGGCTCAGGCCACCAGACTGTGTCGCCGCTCACCCATGGCTCCGTGCGACAAGAGCGAGCGGCTATCCTCCAGCCGGCCAGGCGCATGGCCTCACCTTATCACAGAAGACCTTGATCTGGCAGTAGGCGCGGTGCACCGGCTTGTTGCTGCGGTTGTTGTAGCTGTAGGTGTCGATCTGGATGTTGAGCGGCAGCCCCTTGACGCCCTTCTGTGAGGAGAAGTCGGTGCTCAGGCAGTTCACGGAGATGAAGACCTGCAGGAGAAGGCGCCGTGAGCCCTGCTCCAGAATGACCACGGAAGCTACAGGCTGGGATGGGAGCATAGCCTGCCATCCCAGCACTCGGGAGGCTGAGGAAGGAGGACCACTGAGAGTTTTGGACCAGCCTGGGATACAAAGTGAGTTCAAGGACAGCCTGCACTATACAGTGAGACCCTGCCTCAAGAATACACAGAAGGGAGGCACACAGGACACTCAAGCTCTGTTCAGCTCCCTTCCAGGACAGCCCTTAGCATCAGGTGGGACAGGTGGCAGACACAGCTGCTGTCACCATCAGTGTCACTGCAGTGGCCCTCAGCACAGACCTGGAAACCCACTGTGTAAACGTCACAGGGTTCTGAGCTCTCCACGCCTGGTCAACAGGAAGATGGAATGGCGGCGCCTGTCCCAGGCTGGGGACTTGAGTTAGTGACCACAAAACACGGCCATGTCCCTCCCAGAAGGAAGCTCTGGGGATTTGGTGGAAAATGGTCTGCGATGCTCGGGTCTCCATCCATGACAGAAACAGCAAATCGGCTCACAGTCACCACACACAGCTCTGGGAGGCTGAGGCAGGAGGACTGCAAGTTGGAGCCTAGCCTGGACAATCTAGAGACTTAGCAAGACCCCCGTCATAAGATAAAAAAAATAAACAAGGAGGGGCTGGGGATTTAGCTCAGCAGCACAGCGCCTGCCTGGCAAGTGCAAGGTCGTGAGTTCGATTCCCAGTACTGGAGATAAACCAAAAAAATAAAAAATAAAATAAATAAATAAACAAGGGCAGGGGTGCAGCTCAGCGTGAAGACCCTGCATTCAATCCTTAGGGTCAAAACCGCAAACAAAATACAGGCCTTGAAGTTGTCCGGTGTCTGTTGTCTTTCACGGCACCCGAGCGGCCACTGACCCACAGGACAACTTCCGAAGACCAGGTTCCAATGGCACTGGGTGGCCGCAGCCCACACTGGGGAGAGCCCCTTCCCATCCCATCCCCACCCCTGACAGGTGAGCACTGCTGTCCTGACACTGGGGCTGTTGCTCAGTGAACCCAAGGGGCTCGACACACTCCAGTTCCTGCTGTGTTGTGATGTGAACTTTAACCCGTCTACACCTCTGGTCCCAGGGCTGAAGGCCTGCGTTTAGAATTTAAATTCTCCTTATGCACGCCCGCCACCTCATGGACAGAACTGTAACAACACTTTAAAGTGAAGGCGAACACTTTTTGAAATCGTAGGATCCTATCATGCCGCCACTAGCAGTGCCAGGTGGACTCAGCCCTGCACAGAGAAGCTTAGGTTACAAAGCGAGAAAACCCTATGCAGAATGTCTACTGAAGGAGAAAATAACCGGGAGAGATAAACCCTAAAGCCATGACAACACCCCAGACAGCATGGAAAACGTGGAGTGGGTTCACCCTTCCTCTATGTACTGTTTCCAAGCAGGAAAGACTGAAACGGAGCTGCTGTGCTGCTAATTGCAGCACTCGGGAGGCTGAGGCAGGAGGATTGCTGAAGTTCAAGGTCAGCATGGGCTACATAGTGAGTTCAAGGCCAGGGATGTAGCTCAGTGTACAGGCCCTGGGCTCAATCCCCAGTACCCCACACAGAGTTCAGACACATTTATATGCATCCTACCATGGCTTTTTTTTTTTTTTTTTTTTTGAGACAGGGTCTTGCTCTGCAGTTCAGGCTGGCCTTGAGCTCACTTTGTAGCCCAGGCTACTCTTGAACTCACAACAATCCTCCTGCCTCAGCCCCCCAAGTGCTGGGATTATAGGCGTGCGCTACCACACACAGCCTCCATGGCTTTTCAATTAAAAAAAAAAATTATAGAGGCACAGCTCTACCAAATAAGAATTTTTTTTTTTTTTTTTTTTGAAAGGGGGTCTTTTTTTTTTTTTTTGTGGTACCGGGGATCAAACTCAGGACCTTGCGTTTGCCAGGCAGGTGCTTATGCCACTGAGCTATATCCCTAGCCCCCAGAGACAGGGTCTTGCTATGCAGTCTAGGCTGGCCTTGAACTCACTATGTGGCCCAGGCTGCCCTAAAACTTGTGGCAATCCTCCTGCTTCAGCCTCCTGAGCACTGAGTTTACTGGCCCACGCCACCACGTACGGCTTCTTCTCAGAACCAGACCCAAGACTGGTTCTGTCCTTGAGTGAGAGGCAACAGGCCAGGCAAACTTATCTTCAGCCACTCTTGCCCCTACTGACGCCATGATGGAGCGCACTCAGCACTGCTCACAGAGGCCTGGGAACAGGCAGGAAGTGGTGACCAGACCGTGCGGGGGCGCCGGTGTGCTCGCAGGCACGACACTCAGCGCCCGCTGCGGAGCTAAGAGGCTGCACACACAACTGCTTCTTCAGTGACACAAGGACTCTCCCATGGGACTTCAGTGGGTGTGGTGACTCAAGCTGGTAATCGCAACACTCAGGAGGCTGAGGCAGGAGGATCACTAAAAGTGCAAGGCCAGCCTGGGCTAGAGAGAGAGACCCTGTCTCCAAACAGTAACAACCCAAACAAAATACAATGGGACTTTCTTTTCTTCCTTCCTTCCCTCCCTCCTCCCTCCCCGCTCCCTTCCTTCCTTCTTTCTTTCTATTTTTTGTCTTTTTGAGACAGGGTCTCGCTATGTAGTTCAGGCGAGGCTTTGGCTCACTTTGCAGCCCAGGCTGGCCTTGAACTTGCAATGATCCTCCTGCCTCAGCCTCCTGAGTGCTGGGATTACAGGCACGCGCCACCATGACCAGCTACAACTTGTGACTTTAAAAGACCTTGTCTTCCCGCTTTTGTATTCTGTTGCTCTGTACTTTGAGGGAAAGTAGGCTGTTATTCCACAACCAGGCCACTAATCCCTAAAGATGAGCTCCTGATGTTCCCACCCACAATTATTAGAGGAAGGAAAAAAATATTAACCACAAAATAAACTGCTGAACAGGCCAAAGATGCCCTGCAAGATTCTTTTTAAATGTGCAGCACATTTTTCTGGGGACAGTTCCTCATTCTTGTTTAACAATTCATGCACTTAGAATCTTTCTGAAGATTTAATTTTGTTTGCAAGCCTCAGTTTGAAAACAACAAGCCAGGCACAGCAGTGCATGCCTGTAATCCCAGCACTCAGGAGGCTGAGGCAGGAGGACCATTGCCAGTTCGAGACCAGCCTGGGCTACAAAATGAGCTCAAGGCCAGCCTGAATTGCATAGAGAGACCCTGTCTCAAAAAGACAAACAAAACAAAAAAAACAAAAACAGGAAAACAAATGAGATGTACATTGTCAGAGGAATGACTTGTATACAGGTTATTATTATTATTATTATTATTTTATGGTGGCAGTAGGGATTGAACCCAGGGCCTTCACACTGAGCTGAAGCCCTTCTTACTTTGAGACAGGTCTCACTAAGTCACTAAGTTGCCCAGGCTGGGCTCAAACTTGTGACCCTTGTGCCTCAGACTCCCAGACTGCTCGGGTGACAGGTGTGAACCACCATGCCTGGCTTAGATTATTTTATTCTAAGCACAGAAAACAGGAGAATCGGACCCTGAACTGGCGTATAACCATGTTTCAGGAAGCAGTGTGGCAGCTGTACGATGCTGTCCACAGTTTACTGCTTCTCCCAAGCTGGGAAGCAAGGGAATAGGACGCTCACAGAGGCGGCCACCAGAGGGCCAGTTCCCAGCAAGGAACAATGGCAGCAACTGGAAATCATTTTTGGGGGTGGAGTTTGAGTCTCTGTGTAGTCTGCTGGCCTTGAACTCGCTCTGGAGCCAGGCTGGCCTCCCCCTCATGGGGATCCTCCTGCTTCAGCCTCCTGAGAGCTGCTATTGTGTATGAACCACCACTCCTGGCCAAGAAAATGCACTAAGAAGTAACTTTTATTTGATGATTAAATATAGGTTAAGCTTTCACTTGTAGCTTCCCGTTGCATTTACAGATGAGGTCTGGTCTGTAACCCTCCTAGGCTCCAGTGCGACCTTGTTCTTTCTTCCTGCCCTACCTAGTGGCCAGGCCCTGCAATATCAAAGCCCCTCCTCCAACCAGGCTGTTCTGTTGCCTCTTTCTTACCCAAATTCACAAGAGCTGCTCTGTGTGGGGAAGGCCAGCCTGGGCTAGAGAGTGAGACCCTGTCTCAAAAGAATAACAACCTAAACAAAAGAAAAGAAAAATTCTGCAGTTCCATAAAGTCTTCTGGGGCCAGGCGTGGTGGCGCACACCTATAATCTTAGCACTCAGGAGGCTGAGGCAGGAGGATCACCATGAGTTCAAGCCCAGCCTGGGCTACAAAGTGAGTTCAAGGCCAAACCTGGACTACATAGGCAGACTCTGTCTCAAAAATCCAAAAAAACAAAGCCTCCTTAGGACTCCTTCAACTAAAAGCCCTTCCCTGGAGCCCTAAGAACATGTTCCTAACCCCGCTGGCAGGCAGTGTGAATAGAGCCAGGCTTCATGTCTGAGTCACCTGCCCGCCCCCTGCCCCCAGCCCTGCCAGACAAGGTCCCACTGAATGACTGAGTGAACGAGCGAGAGCCTGAATGAATGAAGGCCGAGTCAGGAAGCCGCCCCTGACAGTGCCAACCAGTTCCGCCCTGGTAGCCATGCGCAGTTTCCCTGGAGAGGGTGAAAATCGAGTCAGACTGGTCCTGAACTTCCAGGAAGAGCGGTATCCTGCAGCGACAGGCCAGGCTGTGCCCGCGCCAGCAGCTGTCACCTGTGCAAGGACACATGGCTCAAAAGCCCAAGGGGGCCTGGCCGCCTGGAGCGGGCACGAGGCCGGGAGCAGGGGAGATGGAGAGGGCTGGGTTCACGCAACCCTGGGAGAAGCTTCGGGAGCGGGCCACAGTCACTGTCCCGTCCCTGTCAAAGGGTCCCACGGCAGCTAATGCACAGAGACGGAGGCAGGCGCGCATGAGGACGGCGGTGCCCCGCAGCACCTGCGTATCTCACACCTCCCGGTGCCTCTTCGCACCTGGGGAGAAGCCGCAGTGCAGGGAATGTGGGCAGAGGCCACCCAGCTACTGGAGCGGAAGGCCACCCTGTCACGCGGCATGAAACTAAAGGTCCTCTATCGCAAACTGAGCTCTCTGTGTCGGACTTCTGGTTCACACCAGTAAGTCACAGGACTTGGGGGCGACCACAAGGCTCTGGGGGTGCAGCTGTGGCCAGTCTGACAGGTGCAGGGGCCACGGGGGCTCTTTCTTGCTTTAGTTCACCCTCGCATTAGAACTCGGCTTAGTCACACTCAGATGAACGCCCACGATGCCCTCCCGTGTGGCACAGCTCTGCTGCATCAGATGCAGAAACCCCAGGGTGAACGTTCACTGAACCCCTCCGCGCTGGTCCAGAGAGGGCTCCGGACAGCTCCACGACGCTTGTGTAGCCGGTGTGGCAGCGCACGCCTGTTACCCAGCACTCAGGAGGCTGAGGCGGGGCACTGCCATGAGTTCAAGCCCATCTTGGGCTGCACAGTGAGACCCTGTCTCAAAACACCAAACAAAGCAGAGCAGGAACCGGCAGCGGGGTGGAGGAAGGGAGAAGACGGGAGGGAAGCAGGTCGGGCTCTTCCCACGCTCTCGGGCGTGGCCCATAGGAACCAGGGCCGTCAGCAGCTGGCCTGGCCTCAGCGCCGCCCACGCAGGCTCTTGGTTTCTGCAGGGCGCAGCAGCCAGGGGAAAAGTCATGGAGATAAAAGACAGACGGGGGCGGAGACCTTGGCAGGACCTGTGCACCTCTGCCCAGCCCACCCGCGGGGGCGGTGACCCCGAGGACACCTGGTGGGTGGTGATGTGGCACCTGTGTCCCAGATGAGCACATGCGCTGGAGCCTGCGGAGCTGGACGTGCGCAACACCGGCACACAGCACATGCGACCCTGTCTGGGCAGGGAGCCCCAGCGGCCAGCTGAGCGGAGCGCAGGATCTCAGGGAAGGCCAGCACTACGGGGTCGCTCTGGGGGGCACAGGTTACAGCTGCCACTGGCATAAAACCCGGACTCCAGGACCCCATGGTGCCTTGAAATAATGCTTGGGAAGACAGGCATGGTAGAGCATTCAGGAGGCTGAAGCAGGAGGATGGCTGTGAGTTCGAGGCCAGCCTGGGCTTCACAGTGAGACCCTGTCTCAGATAAACCACAACTAGAAAAGAAAGAAATAAAGGAGGACAGAAATCCTGCCTCAGGGAGCTTCCGTCTGTGCCAAGAGCTTGGGGCAGAGTCACAGCCTGCTGCTTTAGTGACCACAGGGCGAAATGGCCGAAGTGAGAGCTAGGGATTCACCCTGGACCAGGCTCCCAGGAAGCCGGAAGGAGGGCCAAGGAACGGGGTACCAAAGAGCATCCCGCAGAGCGGCTGCTGTTTCTTGGGAGTGGCAGCACCGAGGAAAGGGAATCATTTGCCCCAAGAGAATGAAGTGGATTCAAGTGCTGGCGCGAGTGGCGGCGGACAGCAGCAGGAGCTTGGAACCTGCTCACAACTGCAGCTCTCTTCAGCTGCCGAGCTCCCTGCCAACTAGAGCATCCTTGGCCGGGGGAGATGCTTCTAAGGCAAAGTCCAACAGAATCAGCCTGTGAAAGGAGAAGCTTGCTGGGTGTGGCGGCACATGCCTGTCATCCCGGCACTTCAAAGGCTGAGGCAGGAGGATGGCTACAAGGTTGAGGCCAGCCGAGCTACACAGTGAGGTAAGGCCAGCCTGAATGACATCTCAAAAAAAAAAAAAACAACCCCAAAATAAATAAATAAAGTAATAGTGCTTCCTCGCTTCTTTCTCTATTTAGGCCAGGGCGGTACACTTTGGTTTCAAATCTCTGCCTTGGCCCAGCTGCAATCGCAAGCCAGGTGTTGACTCACTCCTCCCTTCCCTCCACCCTCCACTCGCACTGGGAATTTCAGGTTGTAAAACAAACCAAACCTGTCCCCAGCTTCGCACAGCGGCAACACCTCCCTTTGATGGCACACCGGCTGTGTCTCAGGAGAATGGAATCTCTATGAACGCAGGTGCTGTGCTCAGCCCAAACCAATTAAAAACTACTCTCACAGTGAATTCCAAATATTATGCTTTGACAAAACAACGCGCTACTGCGCCGTACACTGCCCCCTCCCAAGCACACACACACAACGCCCTACGGCCGCTGTCTCCTCCTCACACTCAGGGCCGCGCTGTGATGCCCTGGGAGACAGGGACAGTGCCAGGACGGCCCGACTTTTCCCTCGCCCCTTCCTCGGGGATGCGAGCCTTTCTGGGACCGGAAACCTTTGGCTCTGGGGCCGCGGCTCACAGCTGACAGACAGGATTAGAAATCACAGCACAGTGTCTCCTTTCTGACAGTGTCTCCCTGCTGGGGACAGGAGGCTGGGACTCTGTCCCACCCCTCACTGTCGCTCCCCTTGGCCAGGCCCCACGTGGAAGGCAAGACATGTAACGGGCTGCCTTGGGGAGAGCCCAAGGGTCGCAACTGGCTCTGTCGCAGCAGGCCAGGGTTGTGCCATGGCTGGCCCCAGACCAAGACTGAGCTCTTCTGTCTCAGCCTGGAGACACAAAGGGCACGTAGGTCCCCACAGTGGCCTGCGGGACAAGGGCCCAGGCGGGGACCACACACCATGAGAAGCAAAACCAGCTCCAGCTCAGTGCGCCTCCGATGCCCCAGGCGGCAGGGAGTCTGGCACCTGTGTCATGGTGAGCTCTTCACTGCTCACGGTTTTTAAATTTTAGTTTTTGAGACAAGGTCTTGCTATGTAGCCCAGGCTGGCCTCAAACTCACAGCAACCCTCCTGTCTCAGCTTCTTGAGTGCCAGGACTACAGATGGTGTGGACAGTAGCTGGAACATAATCCACTTTGCAGCACAAGGATTCTGATGTCAGCCAGGGAAAATACACTGGTCAGGTCTTTTGTATCCCTGGGCTTGCTGTGTCCTCAAGCTTTCATGGGTCCCCAGGAGAAACAAAGGAACCCAGAGCCGCGCTGAGCCGCCGCCCCTTCCTCCTGGAGTCCTGCTCTGATGCCGGTTGCCCCTCTGGGGCTCCCTAGCCCACAGGGCTTCTGCCCACTGCCCACTTCAGGGCCTGGACCCGGCAGCCACTGCCGCCATCTCCTCTAGGCCTCAACTCCACCACCGTGGCCGGAGTGCAAGCCCTAGGGGGCGGTTGAAGAACTTACTTCCTCTCCAGACTTCTCTGTCCTCTATTTTTTGGTACTGGGGATTGGACGTAGGGCCTTAGTACCGAGCTGTATCTTCAAGCCTTCTCCCTTTGTTAGTTTGAGTCCGTGTCTCACTGCATTGCTAACTTGCCCAGCTGGGCATGAACTTGGGATCCTCCTGCCTCAGCCTTCCAGAGTGCTGGGAGTCCAGGCATGGGCCACCTGCAGTTCTATTTCTTTTAGATCTTCAGGTTCTGAGAGGCCCTCATTTCACACAAGTAACTGAATCTCACTGCTGTTGCAAATTCTTAAGGTTTATAACTCAAGCAAGAAACTAACTTCCCAGCCAAGATAAGCAACAGACCACCAACATCCACCAGAAATATGGGAACCACTGTAGAACAGAGCCCTTAAGTCACGTTGTACTGAGGGTTTCAGGCTACCCCCACTAAAGCCCCATGATTTATTTTTATTTTGGTTTTCTTGCTATGCAATTCAGGTTGTCCTTGAACTAACTGGTGGTGATCCTCCCGCCTCAGCCTTCTGAGTGCTGGATCATAGGGGTGCGCCACCACTCCCGGCTTAAAGCCCATTCACCCCACTCTGACCTGGCACAGCAGCCTGATCCACAGACCAGAGCTGGGAGCCTTGCCTGTCACAGTCCCCGACTGCGACCTCCAGCAGCTCTGCCTGCTGCACCTTCCTCAGGTGAGGGATGGCGGCCCCACGTGGGGCGGGGAGCTTGTGCCCTGCGTGAGCCCTGGGCTCCGTCACCTACCTTGGCCTCGTCGTTGATATCCCAGGTGAAGGAGATGGCGTTGTAGGCGATCTCCTCGATGTTGCTGATGGTGTTGAAGCTCTCCTTGTAGTCAGCTAGATTGGGACAACAAGAGGAGACTGTGAGTTCTGGTCTCCCGAGAAGCCAGGGCGGCTCCCAGTGGACACTCATCTCCCCACCACCTCTCCTCCCCGCAAATTTAAATGAAGGCTTCTCTGGGTGGAAGTAAGTCCCAAAAAATGAAGAAAAAGAATCAGAGAACCGCTGTAACAGAGGCAAGCTTAGATATATTCAGTTCAATCTCACGGAGTCAAAATCAGGAAATTTAAGGCCAGTGTAGCAGCACATGCCTAGAAACCCAGCACTCAAGAGGCTGAGGCAGGAGAATCTCCGCCAATTCAAGGCCAGCCTGGGCTACATAGTGAGTTCAAGGCCAGCCTGGAATACATAGTGAGTTCAAGGCCAGCCTGGAATACATAATGAAGTTCTGTCTTAAAAAAAAAAAAGAATAGAAAAAATTAGGAAATGTAGGTCTAAAAAGGTTATTTGGGAGACTGTATTTTTTTGAGATAGGGTCTCCCTGTGTAGTCCAGGCTAACCTAGAACTCACTATGTAGCGCACACTTGCCTCAGACTTGTAGGTATCCTCCTGCTTCAGCCTCTCGAGTGCTGGGATTCCAGGCGTGCACCACTGCACCCGGCCAGCATCTCTTAAAAAGATGCTACCCCGCAAAAACTGTGCAGGTGGGACCAGGTGTCAGAGCTTGCCCAGCACGTGTGAAGCCCTTGGCCACTCCAGCGTGGCCAAAAAGAACACAACAACCAAGCCCAACGCTCCCGCGCCAGCTGCTTATGCTCCGGCCGGCCCAGCAGCACCTGGGAGCCACTGCCTGGCCACAGGCCCTTGTGAGGGAAGCCAGGGCGGAACACTGCTTCCAGGAAGCCCAGGACGGGCTGTGGAGACCAGCGGCTGGCAGAGAAGCACAGGCGCTTTCGGCAGGAAGTGACCGCTGCCAAAAACAACTGGGCGGGGAGAGGGGCGTCGGGGCCCAGGAGCGCGGCCGGCTCTTACCGATGTCAATGCACCTTTGTTTCGCGGTGTGCTGCCGGGAGTGCCAGTACTTCCAGTGCCGCAGCTGGTCCTCCCTGCTCTTGTCCTCGGCAAAAACCACCATGATCACACTCTGCGGACACACAGACGCCGGGTGAGCCGCACTGCACACCCACCTGGTAGAGTCAGTGCAGCCTTCAAAGTGCGTTTGAGCCGTCCCTCAGGGCACTGCAGACCCGGAAACGCCAGGCCCTGGAGACATCACCTTCTGGTGTTTTTACACAGGCTCTTGTTAATAGTCCAGGCCGGCTCTGGACTCACCACGGACCCAGGCTAGCCTGGAACTTGGGACAATCCTCCTGTCTCAGCCTCCTGAGTATGGGATGACGGGTGAGCGTCACGCCTGGCAGGACCTGGGGACACCTGGGGACACTTGTCAGGCTTTCCCAGAGAAGAGCGGCAGGCGCAGGACTTACGCGAACTTTGCTGATGGGGTGGTGGATGCCTTCGGTGCTGCTCGCCTCCTTCAGGGTGACAGGGTAGAACTGGCCTTTGTTCAGGTACGTCATCGTGCTGTCCCCGGGCTTCTGCCGCAGCGATTTGGAAGCTTCGAGGGTGTACTCGAAGCTGTTCCTGAAGGGCAGAGAGGTTGCAGACGCTGAGCCTCGGGTATAGCCCTGAAGTGCCTCCGCGTGTCGTCCGAGCGCGACAGCCCCCGACCCCTCGGACTGTAGATGGCAGGTACTGCCTTCTCGGGAGGAAGACCCTGTGCAAGCTCTCAGCACCCAGGACCTTGAGTCTCCCCCATGGGGCCAAGAACTTCTAAGCTGTGATGTCCACAGCTGTACATTTGGAGGCTGAGGCCGTGAAGGTGTCAGCAAGGGACCCTTAGGGGACACACTGCCAGCCCGGGGTTTATCCGGCAAAAGGGACAGAAAGGCAGCTGGAAGCCGTGCATTGAACCTGGCAAGTTGGGCGTCAGGGACACACTACAGTTCCAGCACTGGGGAGGCTGAGGCAGGAGGATTGCTGGAAGTTTGAAGCTAGCTTGGGCTATATGGTGAGTTGTAGGCCAGACTGAACTACACAGCAACATCCTGTCTCAAAAAAACAAAAAAGCTGAACTCCTCCAGATGGGCAGGCTGCAGTTCTCCGCATTTCCTCTCCTTACGCCACCATTCGGTAACACCCTGTATAACTTCCCTAGGCCAGAGGTCAGCAAATCACATCCATCTTTGCAAATAAAGTTCTTCTGATTGGTCCGTATGAGTAGCACAGGACCATGAGGTCACAAAGCATATTGGTAAATAATGTTTGATCAGAACACAGCTGCACCGCATGCTAAGCATCCTCCGCAGCGGGCTGTGCACTACGATGGCCCATGGCCGAGCAGGTGGTCACGACGGCCTCCGGAGGCTGCCGGGCCTGCGGAGCCCCACATATTCACATCTGACCCCTCAGGGAGAAGGGCTGCTGGCCCGTCCCAAACGCTAAAGGCATCGAGGCGCTAAGGGAAGTCTCAACTCCCGGAAAATCCTAGGCTTTAAAAACTTCTCTCTACTGCAAACCTAACATATGTCAAAGCACACACACATGACATGATAAACTAATATCCCACGCTCCTCAAAACCTGAAATTCTTCACATGTGATCCCGGTAACTGGACAATACTCCCTTTTTTGCAGCAAGGGACACAATTTTGAGAAACAAAAATGAAGCTTTCAGATCAGGAAAAAAATAGCTTTCATTTATTATATCACTAGCAAGGCTAAAAAAAATAAGGGCCTTGTCTACGCCCGCTATGCCGAAACCCTCACCTACTGCTCTTGGCACAGGAGGGGCCTCGAGGTCTGCTTTCATCCCCGTCTCTCCCGGCAGATTCTATCCGTCCACACCCGCGGGAGGCCGAGGAAGGACAGGCACCACCACCAGAAGAGGAGGAAAACGAGACTCTGGAGAGACCACGATCAAACGCGCGGCAGGAAAGGCCGCTGCCCGGGCCCCAGCCAGCCAGCAGTCAGGAGAGGGAAAGCGCCACCCCAAGCCACCTCTCATTGGTGAGCGACAAGAAGAGAACAGATCAGAAGCACTGAAAAACGAAACGTCCAACGAAGAGGCAGCGATTACCCAGAAACACTGTCAAACACATAGTCCTCTGAGTTCATGCCAGGCATCCGCAGGCTGAGATCCGAGGGGAAGAAAACCTGAAACATCAACGTGATAAGCCACAACCATTCCACGTCAGCAGGTCACTCCCAGCCAGGCCCTGCCACGGCAAAGACCGTGTGGCTTGTGGTGACTCGCTACCCTTTTGATGTTCATCTCTAAATCAGACTTTTACATCTATACGATTTAAGTTTAAAATAAATTGGAAAATTGTAAGCTGGGCGTGGTGGTGCACCCCTGTGATCCCAGAGCTCAGGAGCCTGAGGCAGGAGGATGGCCATGAGTTCAAGCCCAGCCTGGGCTACGTAGTGAGCTCAAGGTCAGCCTGGACTGCACAGTGAGACCCTGTCTGTGAAAAAGTAATTACAAAAATAAAGTGTCTGCTTTTATACACCCCACAAGAAAACTAAGACAATCATGCCCGTGCATCGAGGTGACGCTCGGGGTCTATGAGTCCTTCTCCATCTCTCCTACCCATCCCCATTCCCTTCCAGCTCTGGGATCTGCAAAAAAACCGTCCTGACGCCCAGGCGTCGGGGTCACACCCGGCTGGCACGCACGATGCGCCTCCTCAGGAAATGACAGAGTCTACTTCTCACTCCACGTGCACAGACAGAAGCCATTTCCTACGCGGGGCCCTAAAGATGGCTTCAGACACCACGAGCCCCTCACGTTTACCTGCACGAGAGGTGCGAGATTGGAAACCCTCAGAAGCACCGCAGTGAATCTGTAAATGTCACAGGGCGCACCTGTGCCCTCCCTGTCCCTTACTGTCCCACCGACCAGGTGGACATGTGGTAAGGCGCCCACACTAAGGCCAGTTACAGGAAGCTCCTGGAGCCGGGACACCAACTGCAAACAGACCAGGGAGACTGCACGGGGCCCTTTTCTTCTGGAGCGAATCACTTCGCTGAAATCAGAATTGTTAACTCAGTGGCTGGTAAGATTAGCCATGTGCCCCTGATAATAATTTCTGGATTTATAGGTTTAGCTTACAAGTTATACCACAAGGGCCTTTTCTCCTAAGAAAAACAAACTCTTTTCTTCCTAATCCATCCATTTTGGGCTGAGTTTCAAGCTTACGTAACAAGGACAAGGTGGAACCCAATACTCAGACAAACAGGGCAGCCTCGGAGACACGGGGTTTCCTGTACCTCCTGCACGCCCTCCTTGAAGGGCTCGGAGAAGGTGGAGTCCGGGGTGCGCCGCTGTGCATTGGGGGGCTGAGCCCCGGAGCCAAACTGCTCGGCGTTGAGGTTCCGATCGAAGACAACCACCCGCTCGGCGGGCTCGGGGTGATACACGGCCGGGGGAAGCCCTACTGCGAAGCCGTGCGGCTGGATTTCTGTCTTGATGGAGTGGGTGGGCATGGTTGCTATGGAGACGGTGACGGTGGTGTCGGGCGCCGTCAGGTGGCTGCGCTTCTCGATGCCCAGCTGGTTGCCGTGGGGCAGGACGATGTTAAAGGGCACGTTCTTCAGGACCTGCACTCTGTTCTCTCCGGCGGTGATGAGGGACTGCTCGGGCACGCCGGGAATGGTGTTTCTGTGAGAAAGGAACAGAAAACGACACTGCACACTCCGCACTCTGACGACGGTTTTTTCTATTCTTGTGGTGCTGGAGATCGGACCAGGGTTTCACGCAAGCCACACCCCCAGCCAGGGCTATGCAGACCAAGTGAACAATGTACATCGAGATGGAGAAGGACTTTACGGCCACATGGCAAGGATATTCCAAAGCACAAAAGAAACTTTCAGTGGAAATACCAAGCATTCACAGCTTTCCTCTCATAAGCTTTATTTTTTCCCATAACCCTAAAATATTTTACTCTAAGCCTGGGCCAAGTGTGGTGGTACACGCCTGTAACTTCAGCACTTGGGAGACTGAGGCAGGAGGATCACTGTGAGATCAAGGTGAGCTTGGGCTACAGAGTGAGATCCTGTTTCAAAAATACCGAAATAAACGAATCAATAAATAAAATGCTTTAAGTCAGACTCCCATGGCTCGAATTTTCACCTTGAGTGAGTTATTTCACCCTTCTGTGGCCAGCGTTCACCAGGACACAGGGCGCAGCAGGGGCCACCCCCCCAGAGGGCGGACGTGGCAGGGACGCTAACCTGAGGGAGTGGAGCCCTGCATGTGGGTGCTCTAGACGCTCGAGCCAGGGCGACCTGGGTTCCACCTTCCTAGGCCCCATGCGGTCTGGTTTCCTCTTTCACCAAAAGAAAACCTCGGGACACACTGGACTACACACATTTCATGTCAAATTAATTTGGGTTCAATCACTGTTCTGGGCAATATAAATTATGATTCCTAGTGGGTAATATGAAATGCGGTTTGAAATTCCCCTTGAAATTTTTTTTTTTTAAAGATAGGGTCTTGCTATGTAGCCCAGGCTGGCCTTGAACTCCCAGTGATCCTCCTGCCTCAGCCTCCCTCCCCAGTGCTGGGACGACAGGTATATGCCACCACGCCTGGCTCCCCCTGAAATCTTACAAGCTGAAAACTTCAAGGGAAAAAGTGGTTGGTAATCTTGTATGTTTCAATACAATTATTCATATCCTGAACCATAAATTCATGCCCAGGAATTCAGCCTAAAGAAAGAAAAAAAGCCAGGCATGCTGGCACACACCTGTCATCCCAGCACGCTGGGAGACTGAGGCAGCAGGACCACAAGTTTGAGCCCAGCTGGGCAGTTTAGTGACTTTGTGAGACTCTGTTTCCAAATTAAAAAGGGCTGGGGATGTGGCTGGGTTCAATCCCTGTATGGAAGAAAAAAGAAAGGGAGGAAGGAAGGAGAAAGAAAGGGGAAAAGAAAGAAAAGGAAAAAAACTCTCTAGAAAGTTTTTTTATTAAGGCTTGTTCCTGTAGTGAAAAACTAGATAGACTGCAATAACAAAGCTGTCTGTGGGGCGGTTAGAAGAGTCCAGCAAAAAGAAAATAAAGTGATTCCGAGAGTCACAGAAGAGGAGGAACAGCCTGGGTGGGCTGCAACTCGTGGGGCTGGTGCCCTGCAAATCAGAAGACGACGGTAAAGAAAGGGAAGGGCTAACAGCGGCAAATAAGCCTTCCCCAAAAGATAGCTATGAAGATCCAAAGAGCAACATGGAAAATATTTATGCAATGAACAAAAAGCAGAGGAAAGCACCAAATCCTATCTGTGATGGAGGCAGAACCACACACAGGAGTGTGCAAAACAAAACAACAGACAAGTAGTCATCAGGACAGAGGTTCTAAGTGATCACTTGCTCTTTAATTATGCTTTATTACCTAGAAACACAGGCCCTTGTAAAAGTGTTTTTTTAAAAGAAATTTTCGGGGCTGGGGATTTAGCTCAGCGGCAAAGCGCCTGCCTGGCAAGCGCAAGGTCGTGAGTTCGGTTCCCGGTACCGGAGAAAAACCAAAAAAAAAAATAAATAAATAAAAATAAAAAGAAATTTTCAACTGGGTATGGTGATGCACACCTGTCATCCCAACTCTTGGGAGGCTGAAGCAGGAGGATTATCCTGAGTTCAAGGCCAGCCTGAAATACATAGTGAGACCCTGACTCAAAGGCAAAACAAAAACAAAATACACACATAAAATAAAATGATTTTTAAGTTTTTCAGGGCTGAGGATGTAGTTCAGTGGTAGAGTGCTTGCATGCATGAGGCCCTGAGTTCAACCCCCAATACCACAAAGAGAGACAAAAAAGAAAGAAAAGTTTTTGATGGCCAGCCAGATGTGGTGCTGCGTGCCATAATCCCAGCACTCAGGAGGTTGAGGCAGGAGGATCATCATGAGTTTGAGGCCAGCCTGAACTGCATAGCAAGACCCTGTCTCAAAAAAACAAACGAGAGGAGTTTGAAGGCCCCTCTTGAATTTATTGTCCTGAGTTTTATTCAATTATATGAGTGACTGGTATTTACTTTTTAAAAAAGACACCCCCAATTGCCAACAGCCTTGAAGCACCTCAAAACAAATAAACATTTCACTGAAGTTATCTCCCAGACGTCCCTCTGGGGAAGCAGAAAGTTAAGGCTTTTTCTAAAAAAGGCAACTCAGCCTCAGGAAAAGTCATTTCTTGGAGCAACTGAGGTAAAGCAGTATCGAAACACTGATTTAGAGATCAGGAGTCCAGGCGACCCACCTCTTCCACTAGAGCTTGCTCATGCAGAACAATTTCCATTTTGTGTTTTGTTTTGTTTTGTATTTTGCAACAGGGTTTCACTATGTAGTTCAGGCTGGCCTCAAACTCTCTTGCGAAGCAACCCTCCTGCCTCAGCCTCCTGACTGCTGGAATCACGGTGTACGCCACCGCACCTGGCTTTAAATTACAGATTTATGTGCAGGGAAATGCAGCACCTCTTGCGTGTGCTGTTCTGTGTTGTGACCCAACATTACCTTTTGCTGTGATCCGGCTCAGGGTGCTCAATCTCGGGCTTCGCTGTTGATGACCTCCTCTCTCGAGGAACCTTAAAAGAGAACGCAAGGGAAGGGTTCAGTCCTCCCCCCGAGGAGGATGGGCCACACCCCCAAATGTGGTCACTCACCACTGCTCCCCAGATCACCCAGGAGTACAGTGGAGGGACGGGCTCTGGGGACACAACTGGGACACAACACGCAAGGCTGCGAGTCCTCAAGGAGTTTACACTGGTCCCAGGGCGGTCGATGCTCAGACAAACCCAGGGCAGCGCAAACCAACTGTGGCGGTCAGCTCCTGGAGGGAGGGCTCCCACCCACCCGGCCGCACAGCCTGACACAGGAGAAGCTTCCGGCTTCCCACCACCCCGCTATGCTTCTGCTTGCTCAGGGCAGGCGCAGGACAGAGACACAGCCGGACCGTCAGGTCCTCCAGAGCCTGGCCTGGTATCACAGCAGGAGCGCGCGCACGCGGGCTTTGGGCTTTGGGTGCCCATGACCCAATCGTAACTGTTTGTTCTGTGTCTTTTTTTGCAGTACTGGGGATGAAACCCAGGGCCCTGGCATGTATTCACTGTGTCCCCAGTCCTTTTTCAGTTTTTCTTTTGAGATAGGGTTTCCATAAACCTGGCTAAGTTGCCCAGGTTGGGCTTAAACCTATGTTCTTACATATTTCACTATAAAAACAAAACAAAATAACTTACACTTATCATAAGAAGCCTAACAAGTTTTACTATAAAACTGCCACCCTTAAATGGGTGTGGTGGCACACTCCTGTAATCCCAGCACTTGGGAGGCTGAGGCAGGAGGATCATCATGTTCGATGGCCAGCCTGGGCTACACAATGAGTTCAAAGCCAGCCTGAGCTACACAATGAAACTCTGTCTCAAAAAAATGACCAACAAAACGCAGTAACAACAGCCCAGTGACGGTATGTCAGTCATACCCAGTGGGTGCACTCCCCTGGTCTTTTAAATTGGAACCTAAACTGTTTTTGGTGACAGGGTTTCACTATTTGCCCAGGCTGGCTTCAGACTCACAGGGATCCTCCTGCCTCAGCCTCCCAAGTGGTGGGATGACAGGCGTACACTACCACACCCAGGGTAACCTAAACTCTTACTGCCCAGAGGACAGTCTATGGCTGGAACAAGGCCAGGGGAGTCCCTACCTGCACAGGGCCTAGTTGTGCGACCTGAGCGTGAGCAGCAACACAGCCAGCATGACACAAGTCACCGGCCAGTGGCAGCTCTGTTATTATTAGGACAAGGAAGGCATGAGACCGTCCAGGGTGCCTCCTCCAGCAAATGAAGGCCCTGTGCAAATCCATGCAGACTGCTGCTTCTGTTTAGTTTAGACAAATGCAAAGCCAGGCATGGTGGCGTACGTCTGTCATTCCAGTAGCGAGGAAGCTGAGGCAGGAAGATCTCCAAAAGCTGGAGACCAGCCCAAGTTACATACTGAGATCTCTCAAACCTCTGCCACTCAAAAAAAAAAAAAAAAAAAAAAAAAAAAGGACTAATGCAAATCTCTAAAAGCAGGCAACAAGATACATCCTGATCTTAAAACTAGAAGGTCTCAGATTTAAGAATTTTTTTTCTGGCTCCTCAATCAGATCAAATCAAAGAGCTTGTGACAACAGTCACAGAAATGGCCCTTCTAGGCCACACAGGACAAAGGTCACAGCAAGGGCATTAGCTGGCCTCCTCTTTGGCACTGAGAACACCGTGGTAAGAGATGCAAGCTGGTGAGACAGCAGCCATTTTCTTCTTCTTTTTTTTTTTTTTTTGGTTTTTTTCCAGTACCGGGAATCGAACTCATGACCTTGCGCTTGCCAGGCAGGCACTATGCTGCTGAGCTAAATCCCCAGCCCCAGCTGCCATCTTCTTTGATGGCCGGGACAGCTGGCTGCGTCACCCGTCTGCGAGGCAACCCTTTGATTCTCTGATCGCACAAGTTCAGCTTTGAAGCCAGTGAGTCAAAGTACTTATTAAACTATTTATAGTTGCTACAAAAACCAGCGTACGCCCGACAGCCGTGGCTGTTTTATGGGTCACAGGAGCCAAGCTGCAGCGGGCGCACCTTGTAGTAGTCATAGAGCAGCCCCAGCGCCGCTGCACTGTCCTCGTCCCCATTGATGCTCATCATGGCTTTGGTGGCTGCAGTGAGCGGGTTTTCCAGGAACGACTTCCAAGCTTCATCCTCGCTGGTGTAGGAACGCCGCTGCGGGTAAAGCGCTTCATTCTGGAGGACCAGCACTGGCCTTTTGCTGTAGGGGAATGAAGAAAACACCAGGCTAGAGTTGGGCATGATGGCGATGCTCGTCATCCCAGTATTCGGGAGGCTGAGGCAGGAGGATTGCTCGTTAGGAGATGGAAGCCAGCTTGGCAGGTTCTACTATGTAGTGAGTTCAAGGCCAGCGCGACTCTGTCTCAAAAAACAAAACGCCAGGCCAAGTGAGTCATAGATTTTACATAAACAGATGCAGGGACCCAGAGCAAGGCCACGGGCCTGCACCCTCTCTTTCCCTGCACGTATGTATAGTGTGTCGTGCTGATACATGCTACTTTCCTCTTTCTCCCGCTGATGTCAGGCCTCAAGAAATCTTCCTAAAAGCCAGGGCTGGGGAGAAGGGGCGGAAAGAAAAAGGGACACTGATGAATCCTTGGGGGTAGATGGGAAAGTTAGGGTTTATTCCCTGATCCAGGAGATTGGCATGGAATGTGGCCAAGGGGGACTGTAAATCAATAAAGAGGCATAATTTTCAGGCAGGGGAGTTAACTGTTTATCTTAGAGATAAACCCTTAAGAATCTATAATAAATGAAGCCACTGAGTAAGAGGAGCTTTAAGAAAAAGCGCAGGGGAAATCTGTTTTTTAAAATCTTTACTGGTTTTTAAGGGCTGAGAGGTAGAGAATGTGCCAAGCATATACAGGACCTGGGTTCCATTCCCGGCCCCCCTCTGCTCACCCAGATAAATAAATAAAACCTTCACTTGTTTCTCACACGGGCAAAGAACTATTTTGTGTGAATGCTGCAGTTTGGTGGGAAAATTTCACAAAATCAATGGCAAGCCTGGTGAAGCCTTATAGAAGAACTAATTTAGAAGACTAAGCAAACATTACTGATTCCAAAAAAATTATAATGTCAACAGTCTCAACAACTGTTCAGTGGGTACTATTTAATAAGTCAATAAAGAGAAAAAAATGCAACGCTGACTCTAGCCTAATATTAAGCAGTTTTGTTTTCTTTTTTAAGGAAAAAAATAAATTGTAAATGTTTGGAATTGCACTGAATTATCATCCTGACAAGCAAGCACCCATTGCAACATACACTTGAAATATGTAAATGGCCTACAGGTGATCTACCTCTCCTAACAGGGAAGGCAGACAGACTGGTTATCTTTTCAAGTAATCAAAAAAGGTTAGGGTTTGGCAGACACCCGGGGCCCTTTAAAAACAGATAGGGATTTGGAAAAAGGATAGCAACTTTGAAAAGGACAGGGAGAGTCTAGAATTCACCCTGGGTCGCGTGCAGTGCTATCGCAGAACTTAGGTCTCTCTACTCAAACCCACATTTGGTCTCCAGGTGGGGTAGGACATTAACACAAAACAAACAAGAGGGTTGTTCAATGGTCCCAGTTGGTTTAAAAATAGAGAAGACCAGGGGCTGGGGATTTAGCTCAGGCACAGTGCCTGCCTGGCAAGCGTGAGGTCCTGAGTTCGATTCCTAGTACCAGGGAAAAAAAATAGAGAAGACTAGACACAAATCTCAAATTTTAACAAAATATATGCTGGGTCGGGTGGTGCGCACCTGTAATCCCAACACTAGGGAGGCTGAGGCAAGAGGACTGCAGTGATTCTGAGGCCATGAGACTCTCAAAAATCCAACTCCCACCCCCTAAAGAAGTAAATATACAAAGTGGCATTCCCTGTGCTACCAGGCAGAACCAACAGCTACACATGCAGTGGTACTTGGAGAGATTTCTGCTGCACTAGGCTATTATTAATGGCCTAATAGCTACTTCCAAAGACTATGACAGCCCTTGTCCTATTCAATTCCTGTAACGCTAGTTTTTCAGCTTTCCTCCTTATTCCACCCCCATCCCAAATTTGTACCCGCATCAGAAAATAAATATTTTTCCAATGGCTTTATGTCTGTGATCACCCTTGGGGTGTTTTATTATTTCCAAAGTGTGCCTAAGGCCAAAACGTTAGCTCTGGAAATTTTTCCCTTATCTGAGCTATAAGTCAAGACACAAACACAAAAGCAGTTGTCGGTCCTGGCTTCTTCGTGGCCCTCCAGCTACAGTCAGGGCCTGAAGGCTCCTGGTACTGGGGGGTCTGAAACAGAGTTCAAGCCAATAATTAATTAAACTGCATTTTTACACCCCAAAATGAATGCCTTGTAGATGACTTCAGACAAGATATCCAATCTCACCCAGAAAAATAGCACACCTAAAATGATCCTTCACAAACACTTACGAAGCTCTCCGCCTTGAATTTACTGATCCGAAGGAACAGACTTGATTGACAAGGCGCGAATTCCTTTTTTTAAAATGTGTTTGTTTAGTGTTCCCCTTCACCCCAGCACTCTGGGAGGCTGACACTGGAGGGTCCCAAGTTTGAGCCTAGGCTGCTCAACTTAGCTAGAGCTTACCTCCGAATAATAAATAGTAATAATGAAGTAAGGAGGAGGAGGAGAAAAAGCGCTGAGGATGTAGCTCTGTGCAAATCCCCAGTACCGGGAAAAAATTTCTGAGACAATTTCACAGCAACCTAAAAGTTGCCAAGCGCACAGAGACCTGGCTCTGGCTGCCCTGGTCTTACATCCCCTTCCCTCTGCCAAATAAAACACTTTCTCAAGCCGCGAGCTCCCGGGGCGCCTCCTGCGCGGTCTGTCCTCGCTGAGCAGCCCGGTTCCCGCCTCCTCCTCTCGCCACTCGCGAGCGTCCAGACGGGACGGGAAGCCCGGCGCGGCCCCCGGCGTTACCCGCGGCGATGCCAGCGGCTTCCTCGCCCCGGGCGATGCCAGGGCCCCGCGCGTGCCCTCCGCCCGCT